ACAAATTGAGCAGTTGAATTCACTCGTACCTTACCTAGTTTTCCGTTTTAGAAGAGAAGGCTGTAGGTCCTCGCCAGGCCTCCACGTAAAAGCAGCAAAGATTCCTAATGCTTTCGGCCGCACTTGGATGGGAAATTTGTTTAACTGGCGAGCTTTTCTTTTTCTTTCTTTCCTGCGAAGTGGAACAACTTTTACCACGAGGAACTGAAAAATGGAAATTAGATGAAGGATTTTCACGTGCAAATCAGCCTCGCAAACAAACCCTTAGCAACGAAGTTGACGTAAATTTGCATCGGGAGATTTTGTCGTTGCTTTTACGATTAATAGTTAGCGCGTCGTGCGGAACTCTGGTTTCCTTCGGTTTTCTTGCGCCTCACTCCCAGAGCTCCGTGCGGCGCAGAACAATGAGCAGATTTGCTTAATTCGCGCGACGGTGTACTGAAAAGGGGACTGCTCCTAGTATCCCGATCCGAATTGCTCAAAAATTCTAGGACACTATTGCAAAAATAGAAGCACAGCTTTCTATAAATGTCTAAGAGAGTTTTTCGTCATGATTCACACTGAACTGAGACTACCCATCAAACAGTTTTTTTTTAAAAATTCATTCCACTCATTGTTGTTGTTGTTGTTGTTGTTGTTTGCTACTTTGTTCCTTCAAAGACTAGTTTGCATTGCGGACCTATTACCTCAAGTAAGGCGCACGGAAATTGGTAACTGTAATGTATCTATTATTCTTTATTAAACTGCTGGAAAAGTTCTCCAAAATGCTCCTCTTCTTGCAAAGACAAGTCTTTTGTTAACTTTGCTAGTCTGGAAGAAAAAGAAGATTAGGTTGTCAATCAAAATATCATGTCATTGACATCAAGGGGCTCACCTCAAAAAGAAGACTGGGTTGTCAATCAAAATATCATGTCATTAATATCAAGAGGCTCACTGCAAAAAATGATGGAATGAGCTCCTGATACCATCTGGGTGGTAAAGTTGCTATGAAGAAACTATTACCACTGCCAGAGTTGTCCAGTACCTTTAGGTGCCTAAAATTAAAGGTTACTGATATGAAAAATGATGCAGTATCAACATATTTGTCCTGCCATTGCTAAATTATTAGTGAAACATAACTTAACAAAATGTCAGCCACACATTTGCTCTTTCAAAGTGATTGCCTGTTTGACCCAACTCTTGTTTCTTGTGTGCTTTAGACAACAACTGATTCAAAACCACTTTCAGAAAACATTTTTGCTCATAAAACTCAAACCTCTTTAAAAATTTTAGAGAGGGCAAACTGTAATATAGAAGAAGGTGAAAAAGTGTAAAGTAACATTTTTATTTTGATGAAAATAGATACATGTCTTCATGTTTTATTCCTCCAGCATTCTAAAGATTTTCAAGATTATGAACCCTTTTGAAAGGCAAGTGGAATGTTATTCATAAACAATGACACAGTTGCATTCACAGAATTCATCAGGTCAACTGTTTGACCCTCTTAAGTGACTTGCATCTAATTTCTCCTTAAAATATCACCCCTGAATCACACATTAAGGGATCATTAAGGTCACAAGATAAAGTAAATGATCACCAACTAAAGAAGGTCTTGATTGTTAAACAAATAATTCTCCTTGTCAGCACCTTAGGAAATGTAATGAGATCAGTATGGAGGATGTGCAAATTGATGTTAGGATGTAAAGGGTTACAGGAACATTTTTCTCAAGAAAAAAAAATTTCCAAGAACTAAATTGATGAAGCAATTAATTCAGCTGATTTTAAGTAGTTCAAAACAAATGTTTTGATTAATCTATGATTATCAGTTTAGAGTGATGTCCCTGGATGACTTGTGCAAAGTTATGAATGGTTTGTGGATGGCTAAAAATTTGAGTCAATGTTGCAGTTTTGCACAAAAATGTATCATGAATGAATATACATAATCCAGCTTTCCCTGAGGAAAAAAAATTTAAGACATATTTCCAGAAAAATTCAAGTTATTGTCAGCTCTGTCCGTGATCAACCCTTGGCAATACTGACTTTGGCCACAAGTTTTCCCAATACCAGTTCCCAATCAGTAAATAACATTGTATCATGAGTCAAGCACTCCCCAGGCCATCTTTACATTATTTTGGTTTTATAAATTAAAGTTCTCCCCAGATAAATGCCATGAGAGCTGCTGCCTAATCAAGAAGACTTATATTTCTGGGCTTGTAATAACTGCCAAGTTCCAAGACAAAAAACAAAATGGATACTAGGCTTATGTCACAAGTAATGAGTGGGACTATTTTACAGGTTGTGACAATTGGTAAACCACAGAAAACCAAAGTTGACAGCTAGCAGCAATTGATTAAATGAACAAAGAGATTCAAAACAATAAAAACCTATCAACAATCCAAACAATCATAAAATATCAGTCCTGATGGGCCAAAGGTTAAGAAACCAAAAAATTTCCATGGTTGACAAGATCACATGAAATCAAAGGGAAAAGAGTTAGCTTTTAAATGAGCATGGTGACCCTGAAAAATTGGGTTAAAAAAACAATAGAAAATAAGAAAACCTTGTCACTAAGTTCGTAACTAAGAAAAAAAAAAAGAAAAACTGATCAAAATTGGGCTTCAACCAGTATCCTTAACAGACATCATTAATCTTTGTGCAGTAGTCACCTATTTAGAAACATTTCGAAGTGTTTGAATATATCAGCCAAATCATCTGTTTGAATTTGCTTTACTTTTTGAACCTGAAGTGATTAACATGTAATTTCTCCCTATAACAGCCATCATTATCCAGCAAACAGGTCATGGGAATTCTCAAACTTAACAGGCAGAAGTTGTTATCTTAAGCTAAGATATTTTTAAATAATATTTTTATTTTGGTATGTTTTAAACCATAATAGTGAGTTGTGGACAAAAAAAATGAACATTGAATATATGGGTTAATAAAATACGTTTTGAACCAACAAAAAAATTTATTTAAACCACATTATTTAAACCACATTATTTAAACCACATTATTTAAACAAATAATAAATTTAAACCACATTATTTAAATCATGCAAGATCCAGTTGAGGAATTTTCTGGTAGCTTATTTCCAATTGATTTCCTTCATTACCCTTGCTGGGCAATAAGGCATGTGCGGTATCCAAACATAATTAACCGTAACAAAAAACAATCTCACCATCAAATGCCAGACAATGATAGCAATAATTCAACAAATTTAGGCCACACAAAATATTGTGATTTGCCAGTGTCTTGCTTATTAGTTGCAGCTTAATCAACATTCAGCTTTGAAAAATAATTCATCTGCATACCACCAAAAAATATTAGGCTTTGATCAACATGGCCCACTCTTGATTGGGACAGTTTTCAAGTGGTTTAATTTCAAAGATGCATTTATGTTGGCAAAATCATTTTCCTATCACCTCTCATTTATTTCTAGTTCCTAGAAAAAAAATTCAGAGGAAGGGGGGTAACTTAAGGGAAATTTACAGAATTCAAGAAGATAAGGAAGTAGTCATTTGCCCCCTAAATTGCTTAATCAAAACTATAACAAAAGTTTCAAACTTGATTGGTTATCACCAGCTCAGATTGATCGAGCACTAATAGGAAAGTGTACGCATCATGCTTGTAATTGGACAGTGTAAGAGGACAGTTTATGCATCATGCTTGTAATTGGACAGTGTAAAAGGACAGTTAAATTATAGGGGCAGTTCACATGTCATGCCTGTGTAAGTTGACAGAACATATCATGTGCGTACACTATTGTCTCAGATTTCGCTGAGTTAACTGATGTTTTTTTTTATGAAAACGTATAAGTGGTGTCTAGTTTCTTTCTCAAATTTTGTTAGAGTTTTGATTAATTGGTAGTTATCCGATTTTGTTAGTCACTCGTACAATTATAGACCGAACTGGATTCCACTCAGTCCTGTTACCATTATTATTTGTATAAATCCGGACAGAGATTTATCATTTCATCTTAGGATTTGGTACACAATTAATTTATGAAAAAAAGTTGTTTTGTAGCCGAAATATTATAAAATTTTCACAACGTGAAATGTGACAAGGGTTTATTCGAGAACCACTCCATTTTAGAGTGCACATTGCAGCAAAAAGTTTAATTTTCCTATGCAGTTTTGCCCAACCAAATTTCAAACCTTTTCGTTCCACACAACTAATCTTTAAGTGCTTTGCACGCAAGCAAATATTTGAATTTCCAATGCAACAAGGCACCTTAAGTAAATTGGACTGGTTTATTACAAAACATAATAGGCTTATTGAGCTTAAAAAACGAAAGAGAATGAAGTTAAAATTATCATTAAAAAAAAAAAACAAAACAAATTCATAGAAAAAGATTTTTGGTGTGTGTCTTACCTTTGACATACTGTTTACACTATACCGTTCTCTGGCAGCGACATGTATTGCGAATTGGAGATGCATAGAAATTTGCCATTTCCGTGTTATGGAGCCACTGTAACAATTTTCGCTAAAGAAATCATGACCAAACGAACTCGTACTTCGCGAGGCCTATCGATGAGTGAAGGTTTCGATGCTAGAAGCGATGCTGAGCACTGATTACTCGCCATGATGTTTTCTCTTATTCGTTCCCAGTCCTTTCAGCAAAAGGAAGCCATTTTGCCTAAACTGGGCGTGAATTAATATAAACCTACTTAAAATTCGAGAATTGAGTCAATATCTACAATAATTTTGGCCTTTCCGGTTTTTCGTATTTTGACGCTTTCTGTGAAATCCTGAATCTGATAGATCAAGGGAAACGTGCCTTAACAGCCCACGTAGAATTCAGTTCATCAAAGGTACACTCGCCTTCAGCTCTCATCTGTTTTGACAGGGTTACTTGGTGTTGAGGTTATCTATCGTCTACAATTACGCAGACACAGGACGAAATGAAATCCCAGCACTTAATGACATGTTACTGACAGAGTTGCAAGAGTAAGTTGAATGACGAAACCTTTACCCCTGTAAATGTTTTCTGTTTCTTTATTTGCCCTTGATTTCCAATATTGATTACAAGCTTCACTGGACTTGTTGCTCGAGTAACAAGACTCATTCACTATAGCAAATACTCCCATTAAACCAGACTAGTAAAAAGAAACTTGAGCTAAAAGAATGAAATATTTCCCCTTCTGATGCTCACTAGATAAATAAATTTAGGAGTTCTTTTCCTTCTTCGATTAACGGTCACACATTCTTTTACTCAGAATACCAACTCCGTTGCGTCATTAATTTTGCGACAGTAGCAAGGTAAACAAGCCAGCTGTGACTGTCAAGGTTACCAAGGTTACATAGATGTCAAGGTAAGCAGGCAGAACTGTATAAAATGGCTGATAAATAGGAAAAACAAAATATTGCTCGATACGACAAAGTAAAACTAACAATTTATGGCAATTTAAGTTTGCAAAGATTTTAGTCCAACTGATTTGTTCGCTGGTTTAGAAGTAACACCCCATTTCAGCACGGCCATAAAAATTGTACTAGACTTTTTTTGACAATAGTACTCGATCTGCTCGTTGCTACATTGCTATCCTGTTATTAGGGAAGTACTCAGTGCAAGGCTATGTGAAATGTCCGTTATTAAGCTCAGTGCACCTGTTGACAAGCTAATGGAAGCTACTTTGTCATTTCATGATCGTTCTTGCATGGGTAATTACACCGAGTTCTGTTTATTAGTCTTTGCACGCCTTTTTCTCCAAGAGCTTCCTTTTTCTTCATCGCCATCTGTACCTTTCTCCTTCTCCTCTTTCTTTTCAGCTTTGATTCTTTCCTTTTCCTCTTCCTTCTCTTTCTTCTTTTCTTTTTCTTCTTCCTTCTTCTTCTCCTTGTCAGACTTTTCTTTGACTTTATCCTTCCCCGTCTCTTTTCCTTCCATTGCTTCTTGTCCAAGACTCGGAGGAGGAACAAGGCTTTGCCTTGGCGAACCAGGAACACCACTCTCTCGCCTTCCCTTCTTCAGCTTGTCTTTCATCTTCCCCTTCTTAGTGGGTGTAGCTTCAGGATCTTCACTTGGCCCGGACACTGTTATCTGAGGAGATCCTTCAATTGTGTGGGTTCCTCTTATTCCATGAACTTGGAATTTCTCATAGTTGTCTTTCGGTCTATCCAGCGCGAACAAAACTGCCTCGATCAAGATAATGATCCCCACCATGTACGGGAAAAAATGAGGCACGAAATATTTTCCAAAGTTTACAGCTAACGTGGCGCAAATAAGACCAAATGCGAGTGCGTGAATTGTGTTCTTCAAAGATCCTTCGATCATCGGAGGTCCAGCCATCGCCGACCGTAATGTAGGTGTTGACAGTTCACAGCGAAAAACTCTGAAAGAAACTCGAGTCGTCGGACACGGTCTATGGCGAGTTAAGGTTTGCTGAACGTGCAAATGAACATAACATGTTTTGAGAAAAACATTCGCCCTGGTCACGATCTGCTACAAATTTGCAGGTTTCAAACAAAAGACCACCGGTGATGCATTTTATTTTGTTTTGACGCGCATTAATTATACACGACGGTGAACAATACCATGAATTAATGTTTCCAAGACCAACAACCTAAGGCTCAAAAAGAATTTGGACATAGTCCAATATCATTCCAAAAAACCGAAACTGTTGTGAATTCAAAAGACTTAACAGTTGAATTAATTTCATTTAAATTTTGTTATTACGATTTTACGAATTAAAAAACAGGCTTAAAAGATAGGAAAAAAGCTCATTGATTTTTTTCTGTTAGTATAAATTTGCACCGTTGCAACACTGACCACTAAATGTTTTCGATCTTTTATGAAATGTTTGATAATAATACTTATGCAAATAAAACACGCTGCTAAATATTTTAATTTAAAATGTCAAAAGTTTGGCATTTTTCGCCAATAGTGTTGCATGGGCAAAATAAAGTATTCTTTATCTTTTTGCTGTTTTTTTTTTTTTTTTTTTTTTTTGTCATATTTAATTTAATTATTTATTGTTATATTGTGTGTGTGCGAGCATATCTAGACTTTTGCCGGCTCCTTTCCACCTTCAGGAAAGTTAAGCCCCTCCTAAAAAATAGTGGGTTAGGAAAACATTTCATAGGCAAGTGTGTTGATTGACAAAAAGACAAGTCAAATGTAATGCCTTTAAAGGGCAGCCAATCAGAACGCTACATTCGATCAATGTAAGTCGCTCAATTGCATCTAAACGCACAGCCTTAATTATCTCGTAAGGCAGAAAAAAAAGCCGTGATGGTAGAAAATATCCCGACTCGTTATTTAGTTTTATTGTCAAAAGTGAGAGCGGATAGTGAATGACCTTTCCTCCCAAAAATTTTACAGTATGATGAAAGTAAATGAACAGCAGTCTTTCGAAAAAAAAAAACGGTCACAAAGTAAAACGTAGTGATGATATGAAGATGTGAATAAGAGAAATAGTTACATAAGTTAGTATCATTTGCAAATTTATTTTCTTTGCTAACTGAAAAACATGTTACATTTCCAAATAGCATGGTTTCTTATTTAGAATTTTTTTTTTCTGCTGAAGTGAACCATTTTCATTAGCGAGCTTAAAAATCTGTACCTCCTGCTGATCTGTTTTACTGGTGATAAGGAACTAGGGTTACAGTTAGATGTACATGCATACGAACTATAACTTGCCATTGGCATTTGGGGGCATGACGCGTTGTTTTATTTTTAATACAATATTTATCAAGAAAGAGGGAGGTCACATTGACCCATTTAGCGCTGCCCCAACCGTGACATATCACCGGTTTTACAATAATGATGGTCAGTTGCAAAAGTGTGAACCATTCCTCCTTTTTCTTCGCACAGTATGAACCATGAGCACATTTCTTCAGATCTGATGACCAAGTTAAAACAAAAAGTCTTGCATTTAACCAGAGGATTATGGTTCTCTGATATAGAAATAACACTGAAAAACATGAACGATTTTCCATTGGGGGCGTCATCTAGCCTCAGGGCAGTATCAGGGTGTTCCATCACCATTGTTCTTGCAAATCATGTTTTTTCTCAGCAAAGAGGGAGGAGTGGGAGGGGATAAGTACACCTCCAGCCACAACCCCACCCCCACCGTAATTCAAAAGGAAGTAGTAATTTTTTTTTACGATGCATCGTCGACCAAAAAAAAAAAACTCAATGAGGGTGAACCAAATGTTGGCCTGCAGAAATTCATCGCAATCGAGGAACAGAAGAAGAGCAAAACCCGTGCAAGAGAACAATATAAATGAAAATACTTTTTTTTTAATCAAAATTTTATTTCCAAGATTTACCTTGCTGAAGATTTAAACATTTTGAATGAAAATACAGAGATACATCCCAATGAATCAAAAATATGGCCATGATGGAATAAAAGGAAAGAAAAAATTTGGTGAATATATATTCTTTGGTGCATGTACCACTTTGGAAGAAAAGCTACTCACATGTTCAACTTGTTGATTAAGCAAGACCTCGATAATCATCTTTCGATTCCCCAAAGCTGATCCAAAGGCAGTTTCTCCCTACAAGGTTCACACGGTTTAAAGCGAACAGGTTACGAGAAAAATCAAATTGATCAATTAGAAAACCTCTGCTGGAAATTTTGACCACGCCCATACATAAACCTATATTACCGCAGAAGGCAACGAACATAACCATAGATATATCTTACCAGGTCCCTTTGAAAACCATTAACAAAATGATAAATCAAACTTTGAAAAAAAGATGAAATAACTTTGCAAACATAATAAGTTTCGCCGATTTCAATTCTCTGTCAATTTCCTTCTTAGTTATCTATAACTGAATGGCATAAATATTTCCGTAATTGCAATGTCAGTTGTGTCAGACAAGCGTTATTGCCATTCTTCAATTCGTCTTTTCTTTGCTCTTGTCGGCCTCTGATGTGGTTTCTTCAGTGTTCTTCTTTCTCCCAAACAGAATAAGTTTGATAATTTTAAAAATGATCACCAAGATGAACTTTATGCACTTGATGAAAATCTGCAAGCCGTAAGACCATAGTAGAGCTGTGAGAATCGCGCAGAAGAATATGGCAACCAGGCTAAATAGTGACACCATATTTGTAAAGTCCTCCGAAAAAGTATAAATTTTAAAATTTATCCCTTTGAGAGCTACAGTTGTGAACGTCGATTCCTGAGGTTGAGATCTCTGTTAGCGTCTTTTTGTCTTGAAAAGATAAAATATGCGATGTAACTATGGCAGATTACCTCGGTTAATTCAAACGAATTCACTCGATGAGAAGTATGGATATAGTAGAGCGTTCATCAACCAGCAAAACGTCATTTGTTTTGTGTTCCAACTACAGCTCTGGTTCTTTACAAGTATTGAGTTTCTCGAGAACTTGAGTTCTGTCCAGATTCCCGGGAAGCACCTGAGAAATATTATACTAACACCTGCAACTTGTTGTTTTTGGAAAATAATTAGCAATTTCTTATGCAGCTGAGAAGTATTTTGTTTTATTTAAAATTGCATGGCACCAATTTTTATGGATCAAAACGAGAGCGTAAAATACGAATGCCGGGTTCAATATTTCCTACGCTGGGATAGAATAGATATTCAGTCGTAAGCTTTTGTTTGTGAAATTATATCTTTATACTGGTGTTAGGCTTGGACAGGAATTACAAGGTGATTTGGAGGCAATATGTTAATTAAAGATGAATGTGGCTTTTTTTCTTTACTGTAACTCAACTAAAAGGTTCTCCGTTATCCAAAAAGAATTCTAGATTATCCAGTCATTTTCCCAACTTTTCTTGATGTTCACCAATTTCATGTAGTGAGACCTTGTTTGGTAACTTCAGACATTCCCCAAAAAACAACATATCTACCTACGATTACTACATAATTACATTCATAAATTGCGCTGTTAGTTTCTACGATCCCATCTTCGGAGAGAAGATGGGATCGAAAGAATGAAACACTTTAATCCAGCTATCGAAGATCGAAGAATGAGACACTTTAATCTAGCTATCAAATCGATCAGCCCCAAAGAGAATAACTTTCTCCGTAGGAAAAGTCAGTTTCAGCGGAAACTTTTCGAAGTGATAAGAGATGAAGTTTTCCCCGAATCCATTAAAGTACTAAAATTGTAACAGTGAACATGTTTGCATTATTTTGACTGCTGTATGCACCATTACTGAAAAGGGACTGTCTTTCCTTGAAGAATTTCAGTTGTAAACAGATCTTTTGAGTGTATTACGACACCTGCTGGCCGATGACAACTTGTCAATTTAACTAACTCTAATCCTATCATACAATCTAGCCACCTGTATCTTAGTATTTAGCAGTTCAATATGCAAAACATGGTTTGTTGCGCGCAAAAATATCTTAAAATTTTTTCAAAGGGTTGGCAAATTCCAAACAAACACTAAACAGTTATCCTGGATCTTTGTCTCAAAAACTACAGTTTGTAGAACGTACTCTACTTACAAGACAAAGGTAGATTGGTCTATGAGTCACTCTCTTAACCTTCTGCGAGGTTTTCCTTTTCAAAGGGTAAAAGCTGCAATTCAGCTCCCAATTTTTCTGTGCGTAATTTGACATAAAATTAACATAATTAACACTCGTTCCTTTATGAAATTAAGCAACGATCGAAAAATATAAACAACCAGCTGAGTTTTATTCAACTCTTTTAAAACTAAAAACACCTCAAAAATAACGTTTTCCCCTTAATAATTAATACTTAACAAAGTTATCGAGCCAAGTTGCTAATGGTTAAATGGCCATGTAGACAAATTGGATTATTACTATATGAACGAAGAAATAGGTCTCGTATAAATATCTCTACAAAAATCAAGCTCTAAACAAATGGTCTAATGTCTTTTAAATCTGAAATTTCGAAAAATTGAGAACCCTATAGAAAAGGTGCTTATCCATTTTCAATAAACACTAAATAAATAAATCATGGTATTCTAGAGAAGACTCTTCAGTTAGCAGTTAGGCAAGTCAACGTCCTCTTTATGAGAGATGAGTTTGTTTTCTCTGCCAACAACCAACCATGCATAACTCGAGGGACGCCCTCAGTCAGGTGGATAACAGAGCCGATATTTTTACCACCGATATTTTTTAGTTCTCGGCAAAAAAAATTGTGATTAAAAAATGAATTCAACTATTTAGCAGCAGCTGCCGCCTTTGCTTCGGCCTTGGCCTCCTTCGCTTGAGCTTTCTTCGCTGTTTTCTCCGCTGCCTTTTCCTGCTTGTTGCTGGCCTGGCTTTTGGGTGACTGATTGGAAGCTTTCGCCGAAGAGGCAGCCTTTGGCGAGGCAGAAGGTGACGAAGGTCTGTTTGAAGAAGTCTTCTCCGTTCTCGTCGGAGGCCTTTCTGGGTCAATGCTCTTTCCTTTCGTCAATGCAAACATTAACACTTCGAACAATATCAGTCCGAACATGAAATAACAAAACCAGTCCTTTGTAAAATATTTGCCAAATGTAACCAAAAATGCTGTGGATGTCAGACCAAATCCAATTACTCCAAAAACCATTTTGAATGTCAAATTATTTTTTTCTGGACAATTGCAGTGAAACGTCTTAAACACACAGATTGACAGAAAATTGTGCTCTGCTTTGAAATGAAAATAATTCTTTGTTGTTTAAATGTCAATCAAAGTCACGTGCCACTCATGGAGCGAAGTAATTGGTGGTCACTGGGAGCGTGACTTATGAATATGGCACAACTCCGGAAAAAGTTTGCCAGTAAGTTCAGTCAGGCCGTTTCATTCCTATAATAAGGTAAATATGACTTTTAGAAAACAAAAATAAACTTAGAAGAGGTTTACCATGCTAAAAAAATTCGATTATGATGTAGGAATTTAGTAAATGAAAAAAAGCTTTTCTCCTTTTTTTTCCGATGAGATTTTACTGTTTTAATTTTCCGAATTATTTTATCGACACTTATGTACTGCCCCTTGCCTCGTTAACTAAATTCCTCAGCTGAAACTTAGTGTTGGCCCGATAACGATAAATAAGACTTTACACAGACATCTGCATGTATTAAATAACGCTGAGAAAATTGACGATTTGACAAAAAATGGACATTAGACGCTGGCGACAAACCAAATGAATCTTAAGGTAGTTTTAAACGACTCGGTGAATCATTAATATTTTACTTAAACTTAGGTAGGTGTGTTCCCGGTTGAGAAAAAAAAAATTTTTGGCCGTAACCTACTTAACTAGCCAAAAGTTTTAGCGTAAAGTTTCAGAAGCGTACAAATACGGTAAGCGGTTAGTGTTTGGTAGCGAAATAGCATACTTCATGATAGGTACAAAAATGACATATAGTTTAGTTGGTCAAGTTCTTTTATGCGTAATTTCACAGACCAGAGGAAAACCTGAAAATAACATGCGCATTTAAGGAAAAACACCAGTGTTAAGAAATAGCCGGAAGATCGATATTGACTTAGATATTAATAATCCAGAATGCTTATCGTTTTCAAGGCATTTACTTTCAGATAATCAAATCTAATTTATCTGTCCATAAAAATGAATTTAAAATATCGAAATCTCGTCAGTTTAGGATATAAACAGTTGTCCTGTTAATTCCCGAGAATGTGACCTTCAAATAAATATTTAAATGGAAAAAGAACAGGACAGATTTTAGGCTAGGGAACCACAAAAAAAAAACACTTGTTGGCACATCTCCGCCATTTTGAATTTTTCCCCTGAGAGACAATGAGTAGTAGGAGGCGGATTAAACTCTATAGTTTGGCGCTTATTCCAACATATGTCATCCTATGTACCAGAGCGTTTAAGACAAAAAAATTATATTGCCAGCATTGTTTCGCTAATCGGTAAATTACCTGGCTACAAATGTTTTCAGAATGCTCCAGCAATTTGCGGTAAATCATATGTGGATTTCAACTCGTGACGTCACCTAACAATTGACTTTATGACAAAGCGAGACACGTGTAGCGCTGAACAAAACTAATTTGCATTTCTTTAGTACTGCAAACACATTGCCAGCCATTGTTTGACGAAATCTCAGAAATATAAATTTTTATTTTCACTTCACTGTAGAAATTAAAGATGTTGTTATTTCTGCATAAGCTGAGCTAGGTAAAAATTCAAAGTTACCGGAGAACATAGAAATATTAATACCGCCGTTTATCCCTGGAGACGGTAAAAGTTAACGCTTTCGACGATAGGGCGTGGAGAATTTCCATACATAACACATTTATATTTGCTATCCTCGATTTATTTTCAAATGAAGAAAACAGCAAATAACATTTAAATTTCGCTTAGTTTCAATTTCTGTGAACACATTGTTATCCAATATTTCAGTTTCGAGATGGTCTGATTTGTGAATGCTACTAAAAGTTGTTAATCCTCGGCTCCAAACGAACTAGTGTTCATTATTGACTTTCTCGTGTTCTAGTTTGTGTGGTAAATAATTCGTTGGATACCTCAGAAACGGCCAAGACCGTTCATGGTCTCATTCATCATGGATTTCACGTCGTCAAGTTTCTGAGTTTCTTCGTAAAGCTTTTCCTTCAACACACTTTTCTCCACCTCCAGTCTTCCGATTTTCCTTTCAGCCGCCTCGTAACGCATTTCCTCATCTCTCCTTAGTTGCCAGAGCTCACGAATTTTATTTTCGAAGGCTTCCTCGCGATCGCCCCGTTTTTCTTCGGAAATTTCCAATTTCCGTAAATGCCTTCCCACGAATTTGTTCTGCTCCTCCAACTCCCTTCCTTTTCCGACGGCAGCTCGCAAACGCATTTTAAAGCGCTCGGTTTCACGAGTAACAGTCTGCAGCCTTCGCCGACACTCGGCACACTTATGCTCGCTGTAATCGGCTGCATTTTCATATCGCCTAATCTCCGCTTCTAGCTTCTCAAACTTGCGTTCGTCCTCCTCCTCAAGTTCATCCAGAATCTTTCGCTGCCGATCTTCTCTCTCTTTCCTTGCAAGCTCTTCGCGATAGAATTTCTCTTTATCGAAAATTCGATCTTCCACTGCATCTAATTTTTGTTCCAGTAGATGTTTTCTCCTCTTTAGTGCGTCCCGTTCCTTTTCCTTCTCATCCGCCTCGTGGTTTGCGAACACGAGTTTTTTTATTGCGGCCTTTTCACGTTCCTCGGCCTGATCAATTTCGTGTCTGTATCGACTTGTTTTGGCCTTGAATTCTTCCATTTTGTGCGGTTTCGAATGTTTGATCGTAACTGGCGTCTGCCGTTGTTTATAATTTTTCTTTTATAATTCGAAATTCACCTGTTTCGCCAAGTGGAATAAATTATGGTCTCCGCCTTCACCAATCATATCAAGGAAGTGACTGGTGGATGTTTTGTATAGTCTGACCAATGGGAATCGAGGTTTTTCGTTACAAACAAAAGAAATTTCTGCGTTCTCAAGAATGACAGAAGCAACGATCCAAACCTTTTTCCTTTGTTGATTTTTCTGACTTAAAGAGAAGCATGCCTTACGAACGACTCTTTCCCTCCGTTGGATTTGACATTTTCATAATTTATATTTTAAAGAAGTTATTCTAGCTCCAGACGATTTCTTTGGACTAAAACATTTACCTATAATGCTGAAGAAACCAAGCGCGGCGTCTAAACCAATGAGCATTTCATATGTTTGGATTTTCCCCGCAAAAAACGTTTTATCATTTTCACCAAGCGCTGCCTAATGACCTTGAACAACTGTCTTTCAAGCTGGCGACGTTATCGATAAAGTGTGAAGAGTTCTTAATGCAAATTTAACGCTTTGTTACGGTGTCAACAGTTTTTGTTACTGAAACCATCATTCAACAGGTCAATTGTAATGTGCCGATTTGCAGACAACAGACTAGAGTTACCGCCTTCAATTCAAGCAGGATTTTACAGCGGACCACAGTAATAGAACCGAAGATACTTATCATACAATTCATTACAAACAAATTCACGAAAGCGTTTGAACTTTACCAAATAAGGTAATAGTTCTAGCAGCCAAACAGCTGGGAGACTTGACTTTTATAACTTACGATTTGAAATACGAAAGCTGGTAGTAGAATCATTTTCACATTTCCTCGACAATGTGGATGACAGAATATAACAAGCCTCCTTCTTTCAAAATTCTACAAATCCAAAAACTGAAATGCCAGTTTTTGTGAGAGATTTGTCGAGGAAAAACGGACGAAATTTTCTAGCATATAGATCACTTCACAGGAAAACTTAACACGAACGTCGTAGAAGGTTTAAGAAGAAGTCATGTTGTGAAGTTTTACTTAACACCAACAAGTTTTCATGGAAAAGTGCATTGAAAGAAAAATTGATGGATTGAATTAAAGGTAAAAGAGGTGACTGGTGAAGAACACTAGAAAACATGAATGATGAAATCAATAGCACTGCTGTTTAATTTATGTTGAAAGCTTCCTGATCATGCACAATCTCTTTTTGTGTGTTCAGACATTGTGTCAGACTAAGCAAATTAATTAGTTTTTACTGGTTAGTAAGTTGATAATGATTGAAAAGCTTTTGAAAGCTGTGCTCGTCCGGGTCCAAATTAAAAACCCCAACAATAGCCATTAACAAAGAAACATATTGGCTCACTTAAAAAGTCATCTTCAGCTACTAGCTTTGAGTTATCATATGTTGTGTTGATTATTCAGTTAACGATAGGCATTGTCAGGTCCAAAACACCTGACAACAACAAAAACTGACTACAGTATTTGTAAATGCGGCTGCAAACTTGTGTTGGCAGAGAAAAAATAAAAAAAAAAAAAATAAAAAGTTCGTAACATTTCGGTGGTGTAGAATTCTCCTTATCAGGTTTTGGAATTATGTACTCTGGCTCGAGAATTTTTTTTGTGCATACCTAAGGATTATTTTAATTCAAAAGGGAAATTTAATTCCTGTATCGAATAGCCTGCAGAACAAGCGCAATTTGGCGAGTGCTCAGCATGTTGTTGGCGAAAATTATGCACACCATCTTTGATTTAATGGCAATGGAAGGCTGGGTAGAGGAAGAAATTTGCACCAGAGGGGTGAGTAACGGTCAAAAATAAGGAGAGGGTTTGGTGCGGGGGATTGAATATTACATCTATCACCACCCCATCCCCCCACCACTGCCTTTATCTCCAAATCAAACATGGCCGGTTGAATAAACGATCGCGAGCTTCTTAACGTCAACTCGCCCTAATGAGACGCCTGTATTGAAACCTTTACATCGAAGGGAGAACCTCCCGCAATGATCCACAACATTTTGAAGTATTGAGAAGAGAAAAACATAGGATGTTTATCAAATACGTTATTATAATGATTAGTTGCTACGCACCTAACTGGAAACTTCAAATGTATTCTGAGAATTCAACTATAAAAGGAGCAGATTTATTTTCAAAGAATAAATAAAAACAAAAAAATTCATGTGTCAACTATATAACCCTCTTAATGCAAGATTAAATCTGAAATTCTCCAAATATTTCCACCCTAAATTCGTATGTGCATGGACAGGTTAGGAAAAACATTTCCCATAAATAAAAGCTCAGATCCAGCTACTTCTATTGACCTTCCTCTTTTGTCAAATTAACATTTGATAGAAAGACGTTGGTAAATCAACTAACTAAAGGAATATCAAAGCCTCACCGATGTAATAAGAAAAAAATATTTACATTTCAGTCAGTTAGTTAATTCTCATCGAACCCTTTAGCACACAAGGCCTTGTCCTCAAACGTAAAAGAAAAGCGAATTTCCTTCTCACATTTTGAGTGGAAAAAATCAATTTTTCTCCTCTTTAGTTACAAAAAGCTGCTGTGAGATTTCTACAGCTCTCTTATCCTGCTGATGTAGCAAATTCTGTCTCCATTCAGTATGAAATTCTGTGTGTTATCATTGTGCACGTCTATATAGAGTACGCAACGTTGAAATGTACATCAAAACGCGAGCATTCAAGTTCAGATCAACTTGAGGCACGTTTTGGTTGGTGAAATAAAAAACACAAACTGTGTATTGAACTGCATGAGGTGTCACTACGTGCAGAGGCTATCCCGATGTCCCGTTTGAAGTTGTGTTCCTCACACAAACCACACTGTACGTAGGAAACCATCAGCTATAAATGCAGCGAAAACTCAATTAGTGATTAAACTCAATAAGAGATTAAAATTAAGCTGAGACTTTGGTGAACACACGGAGTTACTGTGCAGAATATAATTATAAAATGCAGTGAATGCAATAAAAGCCAATGATCTTTAATTCCTAATAACAGAATTGAGCCGTCATCTTCAGAAAAGGCCTCCCCATCTGGTCCAACATAATCAAAAAATGGTCCGCCATCTTTAACTCTTACTGTCTGCTATAAAATTATTGTAATACTGAGAATTTGGTGTTAGATCGACAAATGATCTCCTTATTAGTAGTTTTCTTCACTCTCATCACTTGTCTGCTTAACATCGTTTTGATATTGTAAGGAGAAATTCTATCTTTGTCACTCATGGGAGTTGAAGGGCTAAAAGGTTGCATGTGGTCCCCAGACTCCTAAAGCCGTGCTAACGCTATGGAATTTGCATATCGAATCCTCACACGACTCGTTCCTATGCTTCGATGATGGTGTGGATGGGGTATTAGTTAAATTTACCCTCTTAAAATAATTAGTGCATTTTGGAGACATAAATGAAAAAGGAATTCAGGTGACAAATATATTTTTTTCATGTTGATAGCAAACGACAGCACAAAAACGGAGAAAAAACCATCAAACTGACTGCTATTTATGAAAAACAAGATAAGCCAAAAAAAAAAAAAAACAAAAACAACAACAGAAACAAAAAAACAAACATAACGCTAATTCAGATATTGGGGTTATTCCTTTTTCTCACTAATGGTACACAAAATGACTACATTGTTTCATATCGAATATTCCTAAATTTCTTACCAATGCTATACAAAACGACTTTGGCCTGAAAACAAATAAAAACAGAGTATGTTGTGTTAATGAGGAATAAAGATATATTTTCTAGGAAATTTAAACTGCCACCCCTTCGTACCAAAGATATTCAAGGACGTAGCCAAGGGGTGTCCTCGATGTCACGTGATCCCCTCTTTGTCAAGGGAAATTGATAAATTATAACGGTAAAACCCGGCACCCCTTTCGTTTTTAACTACCAGTAAGATGCTAATTCATTCCCTCCCCCCCCCTTTTTTATTACGCTCATTAATTACATAAGAACTTACGATTCTTTCCGTTGTCATCTCAAACACATAGCAATAAAAATTTTTCGCCATATTGCAAGTTGTTTCCCTGAAATAAGAAAAAACATTTTCTGGTTTCTTAGTTTGAAGCAAAGAGCAAACTGCCCACGACTAACACTTAAAAAAAGGTTAGTGAAAGAAGTAAAATAGACAACATCACATGTTGTCTAAATGTTCGAGAATTGATGTTCCGGGAGGAAAAAAAGTTTATGGAAAAGAGTCAAAGAAGCAGACATGAGACAGACTGACCACTATATTGGCAAACAGGTCGAATAACAAATAGAGAGAGAGAGACGGTCAGTCAGTCGGACACACCGTGAGGCCGAGCGACACAAAAACAGACAAACAAGAAAAATAACTTCACAAACAGTTACTTACCCTGAAACGAAAGCTATCATTTCTTTTCTGTCAGTGCGTCGACCACAAGACGATGTTTCAGTAAATGAGTGTGTTCCCAACACCTAGAAATAAAGGTTTACCTTGAGTGAGTATCTCAATGGGGTGATGGCTTCTACGGCTAATGGTTAAAATTAAGGCAGATTAACGGGTAACGATTAATTTCTTTCCAATGCAGTTACCAGAAAAATATTTTACGGTTAACTTTTTTTACGACTTACAGTTAATAATTATCAAATTTCACACCTGGCTAAATTTTTTGGCTGTTTAACGGTTAACAGGTTACCCCATTGAGACCCTCCTGAGTGATGTCATCCAATGAGTGAAGTCATTTTTCAAGAAATACATGTAAATACTAAGAAACTTTTTATATGTCAACCATATATGCAACTGTTCCGCATTTATGATTCAAACCTTTGATGTCGCTTGGTCTGTGACCACAATATTTGTCTCAGTTAGGTTCAGGAAGACAGGCTGGAACAAATATAATAATTTTAAAAAAAGTTTAAGGATATTTACATCTAAGTGTGTCCAGCACTAACACGAGTAACGGACATCCATTTTACTAGTAGTAGTCAGTGTTTATACGACTGCAAAAAATAAAGAACAGGGTCTAGAATAGTTAAGAATAATATTACCCTTGGTTTGTTGTTCTGTTTTAAAATGTCCAAAATAGAGTCTTCAATCACTGCAACACCTCCATCCTTTGATTGCAAGATAAGAAAATATGAAGAAGGATCAGTGTGTGTTTAACATCTTTCTACAAATAATCAGGTTTCCTCTTTCTCTGTACGCTGCCTCCGCCCCTTTTCCAACTTAGTCAGCGTAGGAGAGCTGGTCAGTAATTTTAAAGTTTGGAACTTGTTGAGTAACTTTCAAATGAGTATCGATAATGTAATCCAGTATTGTTTTGGTGTTGCTGTATTTTGCTTTGTGATTGGTCCAAAAATTCGCGTCACCCTTGTAACCAATCAGATGCAAAATGAAAACCAATCGTGACTTTGGCACTGTTGCTTCCCCACGCTTTTTTTTTTTTGCTTAGAAATCTCGCTGCCTCCTTTTGAAAGTATCACTTGCTTATATTGGCTGTTGTGATTAGTTTGGTTTTGGTCCCACGATACGCTATCGAAAATCGCTCTCGTTCTCAAGAATGGAGAGAGGAGCCTGAGACAGAGACCACGCCCCTTCATCCCTTCAATTCCAAGAAGTAGTAGATATGTCACCTCTCCCTCAGCAATGTAAGGACATTATATACCAGAAGTGTGTTTAGATGAGAAAAATGTATCATGTGTAAGGTGCAACCTAGTTGATATAACACCAACTTCTCCCGACTAATTTACCATCAAATGTATGCAACTTGGAAAAGAGAATTACAATTCAGATCTTAGACTTAGGTGCTAATTCCAGCCATTGCCGGGTTTCGGTCACAAGAACGAGTGGATCAGATCAACAAAGTTGTAGCCGGGGAAAACGATGGGATTTTTTATTGTAAAGTCAATCTGGACACAAAAAGTGACAGGTGCATTATATGGCGAGGGTGCGTTGAAAATTGACTAAAGGAAAAAAAAGAACGCAGCATTGTAACCAAGATAAAAAAAAAAACACAGCGAAATTTGAAGTTTACCGGCTAAGCTGGGGAGGGGGGGGTACAGAAGATAGAAGAAGATTGATCAGCTTACCTCTCCAACTGCCAATTTTCCATAATACGTAGCTGTATATATAGCACTGAAGAGAGAAGAGTATTAAGATTTATGGTCAGACTTCCCATGAACAATAAACCGAGAGAAACTTTCAAGGTACTTTTATAATACAGCTGAAATTGTCGCAACAAAATAAACCTCCTATAGTCTTCCATGCACAATAAGGTACAGTAATCAAAATTGGAAAAAGCTGAGTTATTGTACAAGAACAAGAAGCCTGGAAAGATGTCCAATTTTGGCCCTCGTGCAGAAGAGAGAATGTGAGTTGTCACGAAACGAGTCGAGAGGGAATTCTCTCAAACCTCTTAGAGACAATACATCTTTCTATGAAATGAAAATAAAATGTCATTACATTGTGTCTGACGCATGAACTGGAGTCTCCTCGAATCCTGCCAGCTGTTGTGGAGCTTTTCCAAAGTCGCTATCCTTCTCCTCGTAAGGATCGGCGGTAATTACAGTCATGCGCTCTGCGGATGGCGGAAAAAGCTGTCCAGTATGGAGTTTGCCCTGTGAAGCGAATGCAACCAATTTTTAGGACAATTTAGCAAATAAAAGTTTTTTAAAAGACTTAATAGTGGGTTAACTCTGAGTTCCTTTGGCCCTTTTATCGCTGAGAAATTTACATTTATTTGAAGGGAAAGACTTGGTTGAACAGCAAGCCTTAGCCGAGTCGTAGCGCTTCGCTCTTGGGTGAGACACCACTCATAATGCCTTTCTTCGCCGCGGAGTACACCTGGGTACTAATAAGCTATCAGGAAAACTTGTCAAAATGGATGAAGGGGGGAGGAGAGGGGGAAAGGGGAGGGAGGAGGGTATCAATAAGATGGCGCAACATCCTGATTCAATCGGAATGCTACAGAGACCAAGATTAGCTCCAGTACTAAAGAGTTCAATGAGCTCAAAGAGTAAATAACGTAGAGGATAGCCTCGTACATCCCGAGTAATTCCATTTTACCCAACCTCGTCCTGAATTATTGATGAAACCTGATCGGTATAACATTAAAGGCCTCGAATCTTACCTTTACCAACGTACACGAAATTGGCCTACCGGTGTTTCGCTTCAGAAGATCAACAACCTTGAAAGGGAACGAACAGTTAATTACACCAGCCCGTAAGAAATTTCAAATGTTGGAAAATCTTTCAGAAGTAATGCTCCCATGATCTTTGTGTTAGACTCAAAGTTCCATCATGCATGAAGGGGTTCTGGAAATCAGTTCATATGACTTGCTTACCTTGCCAGCCGTGGTCTTGCGCAGAACTATCCCTACTAACTCGTCCAGTGTGTCGCCATAAGCGATGCCAGCCTGAGGAAATGATCCATCAAAAAAGAAAATTGCAAGTCATCGAATTAATAAGTTTTTTTTTTAATTCTCTTATGGTATTTTTTATATGTCCACACGCATCGCTTCTATCAATATAGCAGCGCATCCGGAGTAAGGTTGGCTGAAGGACCACTCCTAAGTCAATAATGGAGACCCAATTCGAGACAACTCGCCCTAGCATACCAGCTTGCCCTAGAGAGAACCAGACAAAAAGGGAATGAAAAGGACCAGACACCGAAAAACCACTTTGGAGTAAGTAAATTTTCCCTGATGACAACATTATCAACAAATAGTACAATACATGAATCAAAAATTATAAATTGGTTTTTGCTTACATCTTCCGCAGCGCTGTTTTTTCTCACTTGAGCCACTATGACTCTTCCGTTCACAGCTCTGCAAAAACCAAAACAAAAACAAAAAAACAAGAATACATCAATTTTCGGGAATGTATGTGTCTGAATGGGTATTCCAACAGGGTTATTAAAAGGTGCCCGTGATCAGCGCTCTCCCTTACAAAATCTACAGTCTGTTATTAGGGAGTTTAAATGAAACCACGACGGCAACGGCAACGGGAACGTCCTGAACAAAAGTTTTAATGAACAGAACAATGGCTGTGTACGTGTGTTATAGATTTTTGTAGATTTCTCTGCGTCCTCTGCAAAACAACAACGTGAAATGACCAAGCTTTGCGTCATCAAGAGAACGTGAACAACGACGGCTAATTTCTTAAATTTCTACCTCTAATTTAACGCTGTGTTCCATTTTCAGTTTCGAGATAGTTTTGACCCTGAAAAACAAACTAAATTACCTTTGAGTATCGCGAGATTGGTTGGTAAAATTAAGATTCACTTTTGAACCGACGTTGTACACGGCGTCGCCGTCGTCGTTTCTTAAATTCCCTATTGGGAACCTTTAGAAGTTTGGAAGGCAACGCCAAAGAGGACGTCGATTGAATGGGTGTGATTACCATCCCTTACGGCGCCGCAAGTTAACCTCAGCATAGCATATGAGAGCGGCGTTGAGTTTCAAATGGAATTTGCCGTCGAGGTTTCCTTTCTCGGACCACGCAAATTTTGATGATTTCACATTGTTATTTTGCAGAGGACGGCTAAGAAATGTACACAGTTTGAAAACGCACGAGCTGAGCTATTGTTCTGCTCATTAGATCTTTTGTTTTACCACGTTCCCTCGCCGTCGTGGTTTGCTTAAGGTCCCTATTATCTCAATTGTACTCCGTTTGAACACAAAGTTCCTCACGTTCAGGAAACAGAAAATATCACTCACCTTACAATCAAGCCGAGCTGTTTACAGGGTACGATTTCAACGTGCCTGAGAACCTGAATTTCGCGAGAAAGAAAGCACCAAACGCTCCGATTTATAACATGGAATGGACTTAATTCGTTTATGAAGACAAAAAAGGAGAAATAAACTTACAGGAATCAACCATGTTTCATCCAGGAAACTGCAATTCTGCAGAAGGGGAAACAGGAGAAAACAAACTAGTGATTTTAATTTTCATTATAATACTTTATGCCACCGGAGGACAAACAAAATTAAATTTGAAATTCCGTGTAAAGCAACCCACGAAGACATAAAAACTGCATAACAGGTGAAACCTTACATACAGTTTTGACGGGATAGAGGAGCTGAGCTTATATGTTTTCTCGACCAATTACAGCAAAGCAGATATGACTACACCCTGATATTTCTCTTTCACACATGAATTATCATTTTGTCTTTTTATTTCAATAGAAGTTCAACTCGGTAGAATTAAGTAGAATTTCCCCTCCAACCTACCTTGAAGTCCAGGGTGAAAACATGCTCATTTACTTCTTTCAAGATTTCCAGAAACATTTCTGAAGAAAGAAGATGTACCAATTAATACTGCGAGAAACATTCTACTTTCTCTATACACCCGATTAAGTTTAATAAGAATACGTTTCTTCTGAACTGGTAAAATCAAAAGTTTAATACAACCTCTCATAACTTTATCGCGAACAACTGCAGAGTTTCTGTACCAGTACTGTAATATAAACAAAACAAACAATATTCTGTTGGTGAGCGACTCATGGCTAACAGGAACGTATTCTCCAAAGTCCAATAATAAAAGCAATCAATTCTAGGAGACGGAGTCATCAGGGTTTGACCCTTGACCGGGTCACTGTGTTGTGTTTGGTACAAACCTCTCTACTCTCAAACTGCTTCTTTCCACGCAAACGTAAAGGTGAGGCTGAGGGAAGGTGAGGGAATCTTGAGAATTTGTTTGGGGCAACCTGGTCAGACTAGCACCCCGTCACAGTGGACTAGAATAAGGTCCAGGACTAAGAGGTCATTATGTTCATAACAAATTAAAATGTTGGTTCTTTCTTTCGTTAGTAGTATAATAAATTAAACCGCGGCAAATTAATACCTTGAGTATGGGTGAGTTGGCTAGACTCTGAACTGTATACGGTAGAAGCCTCTTCATCAGAGTGAGGCGAATGAATTGTCGGCCATATCCCTGGTATGAGTTGATCTGTAGGTATAGATGAAAACACAGAACTCATACGTAATTGTCATTAACTGATGAAAGTAAAGAAAAACAAACAAACAAACGAACTGAGAATAATGGGTAAAAGCGCCAAAGAATTGAATAACAAAGAGAACTTTTCGCTGTCTATCATGTTAAAGGGCGAAATTGCCTGGTCTCGATGCCTTAGGTGATCTCATTGATATGTGTAACAGCATTATCCAGCCTCATTTTGAATATTGTAGCGTTTTCTGGGGCAGCTTAAGTTTTGGCCTATGTGAAAAAATACAGAAGCTCCACAACCGCACAGCCCGTATTTTATTTTATGCAAGCAATGAGGACGATATTGAAGAGCTGTTATAAGCACTCGGCTGGCTATCTCTGTTAGGATGCACAAAACTTGATATAGATTGAACCCTGAACATCTTCGATCTCGATTTAAATCCCGAAATGATGTTTCTTGGTACCGACTGAGAAATTCTGAGAAATATATTGGCTATTCCACAACCCCGCACCAATTATTTGAAAGTGAGCTCTTCCTACAGGAGTACTATGTTTTGGAACAGCCTTTCCTATGATATAATAAGTTTTTATTCTTGTAATAGTGTAGGAATTATAAGTCAGCTTAGATAGGCAGAATTAGATATATTGTAGTCTCAGATTGTGCCGAGGGATTTTACCGCGTATAAATAAAATTATCTGAATATTATCTTATCTATCTATCGATGAATGCCCGTTGGAACGCTTCGGATAGAGCAGAAATAAAAAGTGAAACTGAGTTGAGAAAGTTCCATGTGATAAAACTTCTTACCTTCTTGCATGATTTTACGAACGTTACCGCATGTATGTAGGCCAACTTCTGCCTAAAAATGATAACAATAATTGCAATAAAACGATGAAAACAATTAGAAGAACAATTGGATGAACAAATTATTATAATATAAGAACTTTTGTCTCAGTATCGGAATAAACCAAATAAAGTAATCACAAAAAAGAGAAAGATGACTAGAAGCCATTGGTAATTCAAAGTGAAAACGAGCAAAGTGATTGTGGAGATTGTCTTCCGGTGCGCATCTGGCTTCCGGTGTGCATCTGATTGATTGAGAGGGAGTTAGAGTTTGCAGTCTCGACCAATCACAGAACAAATTATAAGAAAATTCAAACAGTCTCATTCTACTATCGACACTCAATTAGGAGTTCCAAAAAAGAGACCGCACCTATCGTTGGGGAGGTAATCGATCAGCGCCTCTATCCAACACCAGTAATCCCATTTCTTGAGACCGAACACGGAACCTAAAACGAACGGAATTCAATTATCCCATCAGTAACATCAAAAGCTAAATTCTCGCAGGCGGTTGCCGAGTTAATGATGCACTGCACTCTTGACGCGCACAAACGAGAAGCACTGTCGTTTTTCTGCACGAGTGAATGGTATGCATAACAATACTGAAAGTTTTTACAAACTTTCTTCACACTTGAACGAGTAAGCGTAGGTGGTATACATGCCTACCATAAAATCAATCGAAACAACCGGTACAACTATTAATCAGTCGGAATTGTTAGACTTAAGCTTTAGTTTAAATACACAAGCAATAATTTTCAATTTATTTGGAGAATAATACAGATATGTGAACGCACCCTTAAAGAAAATACTGAAACTATTAATTTGCCACAGTAATGGTTGATTACATAAGGCATCCATGCGGCCTCTACGCAGGAAACACTGAACCTCCAAAAGTTCACTAAAATTTAATTGTTAAGCGCACAAAGCTAAAACAATGACTTAAGTTAGTGTGATCTTAACAGCGTGCAATTTTCGACTGCCATAACTGAAGGGCTGACTTTCTTGAATAAAGCTCAAGTGGACTTTAAAAAAAAGGAATGTCGAAACCTCGATACAAACAATGTCTAAAATCGAATCAACTCTTTGACAAAATAAAATAAGCATGAAGAAATTACTTAAATCAAACATCGAAACTCTAAGCAAAATAAGCGTAGTGGGCTTAGTTCTGATCAACATCTGTGTGGATATGGGACACATAGGACATTTTATTTCAGCGCTCTTCCACGCTTGATCGACCTGGAATACTTCCCACAACTCAACAAAACAACTCAACTCGACGGCGCAAAAGATGATAAGGCGCAAGCTGATATGAAATAACGTGGAGATCGATTGAACTTGGGATTTACACATTTTACGAGTGCAGCTGGTGGTGGAAATTTGGCGCTCATTCCATGGCTTGTAACTCCGACAAGACTTGTATGAACTTGTATATTGAATATGCATAAAGCTTTCAAATTATACAATGGTACAATATATGATTTGCCTGGAGCATTAAGGAACGTATACTGGGCAAAATGCAACGCAAGGCGTAAACAGAAAACAGAAACTTAGGCTCAAGGATTGTTGCGGAAAGCAACAATAGCCGAAAAACTAGCAAACCCTAAAACCATGGATGGTTCCCTCACATTCAGACATGAATACGAAAAGTGTGGCTTTAATAATCCGGTGAATTTCGAGTTCTATAAAGCTTCATAGAATATACAAGAAAAGAAGGCGCAGTAAAAATTTACCTTCTCATTTTGAGTTAGGTAAAATTCACAGACATCAAGCTGACAATGGCGAAACACAGAGCTATTAGAATAACGGAAAGAGTGTGGTTTAAATAGGAGGTTTAGAACTTTCTTTCACGCTTGAAATACCAAGCAATCCTCATGTACCTTAGGCTCTGCTTTTTGGGTGTACGAATTTACAAATCTTAGTAGGAGTTAAAAAAAGCAAAGGAACTTATGTAAAGAAACTTGGTCAATTACAATTTTAAAGTCGCAGGATAGAAAGCAGTGCGTCTCTGCATAAGTTTCCTCAGAAGTTGCCGTCAAACTTCCAACATGGCGAGTTTCTTGAAGAAATTTGCATTCGTAAATCAAAACATGCAGATTTATCTTTGCCTTTGGTCTGTCTATATTGACTAGCGCTTGGAATTCAATTTACTTCGGATAATGGAGTAAGTTACAAATTGCATCAAAGCTTCGTCTTCTAAAAAGAAAAAGGCAGAAAATTGCCCACTGAAAATTAGCGCAATTGGTGATGACGCAACAAACTCTGAAAAATAATAATTAACTAGGGAAGTCGTATATTCTCAAGTGGAAACTTCAAGGTCGAAAAAGGTTTTTTTTTTTGCGTGCAACGGCTGTCTAAATTTTCGGCTGAAAGATGTTTCTTCGATAACCCGCGCTATTTGATTTAGCTGTTAAGTGCAAAAAGAACAAGATGGTTTTGGCGTGTGGTAAAATTTTTGTTCACCAGCTAACACCAAGCTCTTTGATTTGATTTTCAACCTTTTGTTGTGGTACAATTTAAAAAGATAAGATTCGCGCGGATTAATGGATTTCATTTCCACTCGGAAAGTTCATGGTATTAATTGTTGAGACTTAATCGCCGACGGACCGTTCAAGAAATATATATCATGGTGAATCGTTAACTTTTATAAAGAACGACTTCAAATTTTAAGCCTCTCGGCGGCAGAAAATTTTGATTCAAATGTGCATAATTTCAAACAGTGACGCAAACATTTTAAAACCCACTCAGGTGAATAGGTTTGAAGAAAAGTTTTGCGTTTCGCGGTGAAAACAAACTGTCAACGGGTTCTCGTAACACCTGCCAGCCAAAATGAAAAGATAAACTTCTCTGTAATGATTCAGTAATGAATGCATCGAGATTGATTCAAGTTCTTTCTTTTGATGCTTGGTTGAGACGGTAAACGAAGAAAGACACGCATACTAGCCCTACAATGCAAATTATTAAAAACCCAAAGGATATCTCCACGCTTGAGTGAGGTCTCCACCGCCAAAACGACCGACGAAAAAGCAAATCTTTGTCATTAATACGGTGATTTTCAACAGATTGAAAGAAAAACTGGGTTTTCGTAAGAGGACGCATTGTCTGTAAAATCCTGATGTAGCGACGAAAAAACTATTTAATTTAGAAGGACGAAGGAATCGAACCCATGATTACGGCATACACACCATCAAAATTATGGTAATTGAGTCACATATCTATTCCTCAACTTACTCTTCAATCCAAATCTAAAAATCGCCTCTATGCCATCACAGAGTGGAGCAAGCAGCACGTTCTCATCTTCAACTGGCTTATTGATGGAACTTTCCAATCGAAACACAACAGCTGAAAGAGAAACATCAAATTTTCTGTTTGATACTCGGGCGGGAAATCTTCAGCGGAGCGCAGTGTCTTACTTTTGAGACTGTTAAGACGTATTTCTGCTTGCAGAGCCGTCATCTGTCGTCTGCACAGCTATAAACTCCAGATCACATCCCTTATAGTTTTTTTTCAGAAAATCAGCTACATTTTAGCTTGACAAGAACTCCTTCGACTCATTCCACGATCAACCCCGTGATTATTTTGATCACAAAGTGTCAATGGTCATTCGTTTGGAACGACTTCATAAATAAGTAATAACGTTAATCCCATTTCTCGACCAACCATGAATTTCTCCGTGCGAACCGCAGCAGATTGACAACGGAGCGACTTGAAATTCGCTGTAGAAAGATGTGAGATTGCACGATTTACGAATTAATTTATTTCTAAAAAATTGTGAGAAATTCCATTATAAATCTTGAAACCTTAAAAATTATGTGAGACTTGTATAGGTTCGGCTGCTGCAATTTCGGTGTATATTTGTTTATACTACAGACGCACTGAATTAAATATTACAAATTCATCATAAAGGGAAAGTTTATTGCGCAAAACCAAACACAAAATTAAATAATTTTCCTTGGGTAATAACTTTTTTTTACAAAAGAACTGGTTAATTTCCTGTGAATAAGGATTAAATATCAATTATTTGCTTATGAAAATGAAGATAACTAAGTTGTCGTCGTCTGAGTTTATCGACCGTTGGTAGAAATTCACAGTTTGAATGAAGAAAAATAGAGAGATATATGAGGAAAATTGTGACATGCAAGTGCTTTACTCAAAAGGATCATATACAGACATGAAAGATTCCATACTGAAAAGAAGCCAGTTGATGTTTACATGGCAAAAACAAAAACGCACAATACTGTAAAGGCACACATAAAGTGAAAAATCAAATCACTGTATAAATAATCTGCAAAACCTGAAAGAAAATACTCTTTGGAAAAGGAATTTCACCTGTAACTTCGAAATTCTCCCAATAACATTCATTTATCATCCAGCAAACAGATAATGAAAATATTGAAACTTATGAGTCAGTTGTCATATTGATCCAACACTTCTCGTAACTAACTTACAGGGAGATGAGTGCAACAAGAGAAGAGAAGTAACAATCAGATCTTGGGGGTTAAAGATTTAAAGGGTGAGAAACCATTTTTAAAAATGCAGACGAAATGATAATTGCTATTAAAGGGGCTTCTGGTCACTATGGCAACAAATGTAGGACTCTATTTTTAGTTACTTTTATCAAGCAATTTGTTTCAAACTTCAATGAGGAAATATTGTACGAAGAAGATAAGCAGAATTCAAACTAAGAATCACAAATTATTTAGGCCTATGATTACTTTTACCTTAACTGGTTATTGAAGGTAAGCAACAGAGCATCCTTTTGATTAGTCCACAAACTAATCCACTTGAAATTTAATCATAGGTTGGAAGAACACAAGGGAAGTTTTAAAATATCAAGACACGAGGATGTGTGGGCGATTTTGCCTATTCAACATCCAGAGTAGGCTATCGTGCCGGGGTAAACAGTCCTTTAACTCTCATGAGTGACCAAGACAGAATTTCTCCTTACAGTATCAAAAAAATATCAAGCACACTAGTGATGAGAATGAATAAAAAAATAAATTTGGGGGTTGTAAGTTGATCCAATACCAAAATCTCTAAATTGAAATCATAAGAGTTGTATGGCAGACGGGAGTGTAAAGGTTAAGTCAGAAATCACAACAGACAATCAGAACAAGGGAAAAGACTGCAACTGAAAGAGCTAAGAGTCAAAACAAGTAACTGCCCGACTCGGGAAAACACGATCGACCATGTCGGTACCGGGTTTAGTTTTAACGACTTCGCTGAACTAATCACAATGCGAAATAAGGTAAAATCAAAGGAATTCTTGATTACTTTTATTTCTCAATTGATAATTGCCGTTATGTCATAGTGTGGGAATAACAATGAATTTCCTGATACAATTAATGATAAGTTTTTGACCAATCAGATCCCGTTTAGCATAAATCTTACAGTGTTGCTGCGATACGAATTACCGGTCTGTATATGAGCCATACATCGAGTCATCGATTTCCGAAGCTCGCCGAAAGTCTGCGATCCTTACAAAATCTTCACGATTTCACAGTTTCGTCACGTTTCTTAAAACTTTCTCAAGCAATATTTGCATTCACTCTTTAGTCAATCAGTAGATAGTTCCGCTCAGGTCCTCAAAAGTACATGTAATACACATGATTACCTCTTTAAATAATAATTTCCCTCAAACAAGTAAACTTGAATGCTGCCTTTCACTCGTAATCTTTTCAAAATGAATAATTTAATATGTTAAATAATAACGAATAAATATCATTAAATCAATTAAACATTAACGGTCTTACTCGATTGCATGCAGTCATCACAAATGATGTTTGTGCGTGTGGGTTTTTTATGGAGGTAATTTTTATATAAATACATATATAAATACATATTTTTTATAAAAATGATTAAGGGAGCTTTATTATTTACTTAAACTTTTAAACTTCAAAAGGCATTAATTAGTCTTAACTTAACCGAGCCGTTCTCCCTTCCTTATTTGTTTTGCATTGAATTTTCCTTTTTTCTTGTGCATACCTTTTTCCAATAAACTTCTTTACTTGTATTTTCGAGAAATCGATTATAATATGGATGGAGAAAAGTAATTAAGAAAAAAATGCCACCTCAGCCACAATCATCAATTCAACGTTTAATACCAGGAAAAACAGCCTTTCCGGTTTGACGTACGAAAGGTAATTTCTATTATTGATTGTAATTACTACTGCGCATTAACTATTGTGTTTAAACACAACTGATTTTCCTTTCATCCCGGCCACATAGTCCTCCTTCGATTTTTTATTAGGTGTGAGGCATGAGCACGGAAAATGATCACTGATTGATTTTCTTCATGAGCTGGGGTTTTCTTCTCATAAAAGTAACGCCTGGCCTTTTTTTTGAAGGGGCCTCTTCCAAAAATAGGAATTTCAATGGTCAATAACAAACAAAAAACAATTCTAATTTGATGAACCGACTATGTTGCGGTCACAAAAAGAACAAATGTTATTTTAGTGCATGAAAAAAAAAAAAAGAAAAGAAAAAAAAGAGAGAGAGTGAGAGAGAGAGGAATTGGTGCACTGTGATAGGCTATGTCAAATGGGCCAAAATCCATTTTGAAACTTTATTTAAGTCCGCTTTATAAAACTCCTCTCACATTGGGATTTCTCCAAAGCTCCAATGACCGGTTTTTTCAGTTCTACGGTATTGTGGTTATGACAAAGAAACTTTTCCATTTTCCCTATATGATAACAGAGATCAATCGTATCAGGAAATTGCACTAATCAATCTTTTGTTTGCCAGAACTTTGACGCGTACTCCGTAATCAGGTGCAACACCCTTTTCACTCCAAGGAATATTAAATAGACTAGAACGTAATATTAGCCGCACGGCTCTCATTAAGTAAAATGGTCGAACAATCTTTACCACATTTACGGTCAACCTTCATTAACCAAACAATTCCAAAGCTTGTGCTACAGAGTTTCTTCTTTGAAACTACGATCGTAAAAATATATTTCAATTAGGCAAACTTGATGCAAAATTTAAAACATCTGTCCTATTGAAGTCTGAAAAAAGGTTTCGTGGGTTTGCATCTAAAAACAGTTGACGTTTTGCCCGCACATTAGAATAAAAAAAACCAATCAATCAATTCGGCAATTCGATGTCTAGGAGCGCCGAAGTAGCTTAAACGGCATGAAATTCAAGAAGAAAAAAACGGAATAATTTTTTTAAGAACTTTATTCGAAAATTTGGTCAAATTGAAGCGCATGTGGGCGTCGATTAGCACAATTGTTTTACTTCCGCTTTCAGGTTTTGTTTTGTTGTTGTTGTTTTTTTACAGGAGAAATAACATATTTACTTTGGTATTGATTTAAATATATTGGAAATCGCATCAAAATTCTCGGAGTTGAACATGTCATCACGCTTCATAGCCTCTGTTTTAGAGACGACTGCCCTCTGTGTCATTGGTTTGGCTGCATTTATCGGTAACCTCAGCTTGTTCATCATCGTCTACAAAGACAAAGATCTTCAAACTGTCACCAACTTGTATATTCTCAATCTAGCCGCGGCTGACATCATGGTGTCAATTTTAAGCATTCCATTTACTTTAGTGACTATCATCGAAGACCGTTGGGTGTTTGGGGACACTTCTTGCGTGGCGCTTGGCTTTTTCACGATGTTATCCTTTATTTCGTCCGTGATGTCTCTTGGCATGATCGCTATCAACCGATATTTCTACATCGTCAAATGGAACTCTTACCACCGAACCTTTTCCAGGAAAAAAGCCTTGCTCTATGCCGCCGCAGTTTGGGTGGTCGCAACATCTTTGGCTTCCCCTCCGCTTCTAGGCTGGGCAGAATATCGTTTCATCCCCGGAAAATCGTACTGTTTCGTTTTCTGGCCTTCAGATGTGCACTTCATGTATTTCATGATCACTGTCTGCTTTTTCGGGCCTCTTTCAGCGATAATCTTGTCGTATTTTAACGTTTTAAAGTTTACAAGAGGCTTGAAAAGGAAACTTAGGAGGTCAAGAAATATCACGCCGCCGCCGGTTCGGTCTTTTCAATCTCCAACAGCTTCTGAACCTGGCAATAACGATATACATATAGACACCGACATTTCGGAAAAACCACAAATCAACGTTCCGCGAAAAAATAAATCGGATTCTGTATTAAAATCATTAGAGTCTTACGTGACACCAGAAGAAACGAGGATCACAAACACATTTCTGTACGCAGTTACCCTATTTGTCTTTTGCTGGGCACCATTTGCTATTACCATGTTCTTCGATGTGTATTACCCAAAGCCTTTACCGCGCGTACTTGACATGGCTTCCTTAATACTCGGTTATTTGAATAGTATGTGTAATCCTCTTCTCTACGGAATGCGTAACTCAACCTTCAAACAGGGATTTCTGAATCTGTACTCGAGGTTTCTACCCGCACGGTACAGACCAACAAATGTGACACAGCTGGAAATTAACGAATGAACATTTCAATTTATAAAGTATTGCATAAACCGTCATCTCAAATTGGGAGTACTTGTACCCAACTTGCAAGTGTCAAGCTCTCCTTTATGGCACAAATTAGAAAATACAGTTCGAACTGAAACTAACTTCCCTCTTTCGATCGCACAAAGGGCTTACGCCCGAAATGTCAGCTCGTTAGCCTTAGAAACTCATTACATTATCAACTCAATTGATAAAACCAAATTTTCTAACTTGGCTCGGTTGACCCCAATCGACGCATTGGAGATTTTCAATGTAAATTCACAATCATTATAACAATAATTAAGCGAATCATCTCTAATTTTCAAACGGCTGGAAATATGGACTGAATGACCAATGAATGAGTGAACGAGTTGTCAAATACTTTCTTGACATTTTTATTGCGAGCAAAAAACAACTGTTTATCGTATTTTTTTCATTGGTACCATTATAGAAGTTGGTGGCTGTAATGTAAATTTATGCAACTGATAACACGAATAAGGAAATATGTCACGAGTAGGACTAAGAGGAGAGATAATTTAGTTATCTTTTAAAACATGCAGAGTACACCCAATTATCTATCGACTTAACAAGCAGCTTTACAGTCTCGTTTGCTCTCTTTCCTTTCACAAAAAACAGACTGCATGTAAGTGAGTCAGTAATTAAAACAGACGACATTAAAGACCGGCTGTAACTGCAAATCAGACAGGTGAGATTTCCAGCAGAAATGAAAACATCATGAATATTGAGTGAATCCCACCAATCGCTGAAGAAACAAAAGTGCCATTATCACTTGCAAGAGTTAAATGGCGTATCCTGAAGTAAAGAAGGGAGCTTTGGACAAATGAAATGCTCCAAAGTTCTCTGCCCGGGGAGAACTCTCCTCATTTCGCTTTTTAGTGACAAAACAATTTTCAAATTGAAAACAAGAAAGCCATTATCTAAAAAAGATAAGTAAAGTTTTCAACTGCAGCCCACATGATTTTATGACGACTTGCAGCTTTTGTGGCGGCGCTTCCTGGTCTTTCACCCACCCATTCGTCGGAATAAAACACAGCGCTCCATGTCGTTCACGACCGATTAACATAACTAAACCGCGTTTTTGCAAAGACCTGTATAATCGTCTTGTATAGGCCTTAATTGGGAAGTTTATCGAAAGCCGAGACCAATGGAAATTTAATGGATGGCTATCAGGTGCTGTTAAGAGTATATTAATACCTGATATCGGTACTGCTTCCTAGTGCAGAGACCAAATTCATCCTTACTAATATTTCATAAAATGAAATCCATTTAAAAAAATGTTAAATAAAAAACTTCCACAATGACAGCTAGCTGAGGCCATTACAAGAATTCTTAGTTGTTTCAAAATTAGCATGCCCGAAGTGAACAACAGAAGATTTGTTACAATAGATCCATAAACGTGAAATCGTTTTGTCTCACTCTGAATTCTCGAAAACTGAAGTGATGTCAAAACACGAAATTCTTAAAAATGCTTGCATTCAATTGAATGGAGGTGGTCAAGAAGATAAGTGATTCTGGAAATGAAGTTCTGCCGTTTCGGTTCAGGCCAAAATTATCGTTGCAGATGTGAATACTATTAAGTAAGTCTTATATGAAAGGCCACCATAGCAATTTATCAATTTCATATATATATACTATCTGTTGTTTGAAGAAAGTTTGCTCTTCCAAAGCGTAAAGACAAACTTGGCTTTTTCAGTCGTCAAGAAGTTTATGTAACCTTCCAGTTCTTGTCTTTACCATTTAATCTTTACTTTGATGCTTTCCTGTGGTTAGAAAATTATGCAATTTCATAACATACTGAGCCAGTAATGAATCGGTTTATTGACGGTTTTATTTAATGCTGATATGTTACATGCGACTGTTATCTTTTGAAAGTCATAATGAATTCATTGCTAAAACTAACAGCCGATAAGAACGAGAAAAAAATCAAGAGAGAAAACCATTAAAACAAAACACGCACAACTTTGATTAAAGTATTTTTAAAAGGTTGAAGTAATAGAGCGACAAAAACTTTGTACATCTCCCTCATCACTGCCTGCAAAATGTGTTGAGAGTTCGGTTTCTTTTGCAGGGCATGTTCCGTAGTATGTCGATAACATTGTGGCGAATATGCCTCATCTTCCAACAGTAAATTAAAGGGTTCAAAGTTGAATTCAGAAATACAAGAATGATTGTCAAAACATTCAAACTCCTAATAGTGCTATTCGGGCCGTTTATTTTCACTGCAAGCATTAAGGGAAAAAATGGAAAATACGAAACTAAAAACATGAGATGCACATACAATATACAAACTGCAGACTTAAGGGAGACAGCCAATCGTTTCACTTCGCTGCACTGACCTGCTTCTTGTAATTGCAAGGACTGAATCTGAAACTTGTGCCGGCGGACAATGAAATGAATCCTGATGTTTATCAAAATACCAAGAAGGAAACCAATTATTGAGATAACGGCATTAATCATAGGAACAGTACTTATAGAGACCCAAAACATCGTTAGTGAAAAAAATGTGCAAACCATCCAAATTGATATCACCACAGCAACAACACGCCTGTGAGTCACAAGTTCCTTGTATCTGAGATGAAGATGAATTGCTAAGAACCTGTCTACGCTTATAGCTACAACACTCAAGAGCGAGACGTTTACAAGCGCACGAATAACGCCAGCCATCAAGTAGTAAATACTACAGCTAGGATTGTTCATTTGCAGCCAAGTGACCAGAAATGATGTGTAAAGAGGCTGAATGAATACACCAACACATACATCAGAAACAGCAAGACTCAGCATCAATGTTCTCAATGTCTTTGGAACAGATGAACTTTTTCGTATAGCGTACAATGTCACAATGTTCAACATGATGGCGGTGTAAGTTAAAAAATTGTTGGAAATAATGCCGGCGACGAGTATCCAACGACAGTCTTTGAAGTCGGAATAGGAGGGTAAAAACTGCAGAAAATCATCACAGTATAATACATTCATACTGACTGACCCTTTTGTGGGCATTTAAGACTTTTCAGGTGCCACATACACCTAATATAATTTTTTCATTAACCGTGATAAAAATTGCAATTAATTTTTGATCGCACTCTTTGATAAGTTCGTCAGGATTGATACACTCATCTTTTCGACGACTTTGTTTGAATAAAACGACGCTGGTCTTGTGATAGCTTTCCATCACAGGGTCGTGTGCTCATTTGATTGGATAGTTAGTCATGGAAAGTTCTTTATGGGATGGAATTAAAGTAGTACCGTGGTGTAACAAAGTCATGAGCTTACTGGATCAGATAATAAATTAAAGGTGCTAAATGGAAATATAATGAATATGACCCACCATAAAATTTGTAAAGCGGAGACTTTGAGTCCTCACATCAAAGGGGATTTCCCGATGATCGCAATTTAAGGAATTGTGGATTACTTTTAAATTAAATCAGACTAAGGGGCAAAGTTTAACATCATGGCGATGTGGGTTAAAATATTTTTGGAAATACAACCAGCGTCGAGTATCCAACGACGGTCTTTGAGGTTGGAATATGAGGGGAAAAAACTACAGAATATCATCACATCCATACTAATTGACTTAAAATTTTATAAGGGGATTTTTTGTGCGCAAGTAGGACTCGTTTCAGGTGTTACGCACACCTAATATAATTTTTTCGTTTACCGTGATGAACAAAATGAAAGCAGTTACTTTTTGCTAATTCTCCTTATTTAGCTTTTTAGGGATCAACCTTTTTCTTGTGCAAAACAACTTTTTTAGATTTAAAAACATGAAAGCCGTTATTTAAAAGAATAAGAGAAATTTTCGACTGCAGCCCACAAGATTTTGAAACAACACCCTCATGGTCGTTCACGACTGATCAAAATAACAAAACAACGTGTTTTAAAGACCTTTCTAATCGTCCTGTATGGGTATGGATTGGGAAGTTTATCGAAAGCCGTGACCAATGCAAATTTAATGGATGGCTATCTGGTGCTGCATGGAGAATATATTAGTAAATGACACTGCTATTGCTTCCTTTTGCAGAGATCAAATTTATTCGTTAGCATTTCATCATAGTATAAAATCAATTAATGAACAATTTATTTATTCTAAAGAAAGAAGTCCGACAATGACGGTTGGCTGAGGCCATTACAAGAATTCTTAGTTGTTTCAGAATTAGTACGCTAAAACGTTAAAAAGCGGAACATCTGTCAGAGAAGATCTATGAAAATGGTGATTTTCTTGCACACTTTAAAATCTCGAACATTGAAGTTATGACAAAAGAAAAAAATCTTGAAGTTGCTTGCGTCTATGTTAATGACGGTAATCAAGAAAAAAAGACTTGAATTTCTGAAAATGAAGTTCTCCCGGTTCGGTTCAGGCCGGAATCATCGGCGCCCATGTGGGGACTATTCATTGCATCTTTGAATGGAGACCTCTGTAGTATACTATGAATTCTCAGCCAAAATAAACGCAATAAAAGCGAAGAAAAAACAACAAGGGAAAACAGTAATAATAAAACTGAGGTAGAGATGATTCTCATTTTACAAGTAGAATATTCAATTGGTTATTTGAAAAATGTTGAGGTTCACGAATACATTGAAAATTCAGTGTCAATTTTATTTCACATAAAATCGATCAAAAAGGGATTAGGCTAATTTACCATTATTGCATTCACAAAACTATCATTTACTTTATCTTTTTTCCCTTGAAAATTTGAATAGTCATGTTTGTTTCTGTGGCGTTTTTATCACGTTTTTAACAACGTTCTAGTTTCTCTTTTGTCAGTTGAGGAAAAAAAACACGTTCCTAGCCCTTGTTAGTCAAACAATAAGGACGATCCCAACGAAGCATTACAACTGATTGCATAATTCAGTAGTTTAGAGTACGGTTTCTTTTCCAGGGCATTTTACGCAGTATGTTGATGACAGAGTGGCGAATGTGTCTCATCTTCCAACAGTAAATTAAAGGGTTTAAAGTTGAATTCAGAAATACAAGAATGAGTGCCAAAACATTCAAACTCCTAATAGTGCTATTCGGGCCATTTATCTTGATTGCAAGAATGGAGGAAAGCAATGGGAGATACAAAACTGAAAATATGAGATACACATACAATATACAACCTGCCGACTTGAGAGAGACAGCCAATCGTTTCACTTCACTGCACTGACTTACTTCTTGTAATTGCAAGGACTGAATCTGAAACTTGTGCCGGCGGACAATGAAATTAATCCTGATGTTTATTAAAATACTAAGAAGGAAACCAATTGTTGAGATAACGGCATTAATCATAGGAACAGTACCTACAGGGAACCAAAACATCGTTAGTGAAAAAAATGTGCAAAACACCCAAATTGACATCACCACCGCAACAACACGCCTGTGAGTCACAAGTTCTTTGTATCTGAGATGAAGATGAATAGCTAAGAACCTGTCTACACCTATAGCTACAACACTCAAGAGGGAGACGTTTACAAGCGTACGGATAACGCCAGCCATCAAGTAGTAAATACTACAGCTAGGATTGTTCATTTGCAGCCAAGTGACCAGAAATGATGTGAAAAGAGGTTGAACGAATACACCAACAACAACATCAGAAACTGCAAGACTCAGCATCAATGTTCTCAATGTCTTTGGAACAGATGAACTTTTTCGTACAGCGTACAATGTCACAATGTACAACATGATGGCGGTGTAAGCTGAAAAATTGTTGAAAATACAGCCGGCGATAAGTATCCAACGACAGTCTTTAAAGTCGGAATAGGAAGGAAAAAACTGCAGAATATCATCACAGTACAATACATTCATACTGATTAACTTTTTGTGGGCAATTAGGACCTTTTTAGAGAAAGAGAAAAAATAATTTTTGATCGAACTCTTTTATAAGTTCATCAGGATTGACACAATCATCTTTTCGACGACTTTTTTTGATAAAACGACGCTGGTCTTGTGATAGCTTTTCATCACAGGGTCATGTGTTCATTTAATTTGATAGTTAGTTAATGGAAAATTTTTAAGGGGGGTGCAATTAAAGCCGCAGTACCGTGGTATAACAAAGTCATAAGCATTCGGGATAAGAGAAGTAATCGAAAGTGCTATTTGGAAATTTGATGGATATACATCCAATATAAAATCTGTAAAGTGGAGACTTTGAGTCTTCACATCAAAGAGGATTTCCCGATGATTTAAGGAATTATGGATTTCTTTTAGATTAAGTCAGACTGAGGGGCAAAGTTTAAAAGAATGTAGAATTTCGCACCCGAAATTGGTCGCTGACCACTGGCGCATAGGAACCACCGCCTCTTATCTTTCAGGATTACTAATTTAACGGCACCTTTTAATGGATATACATCCCATATAAAATCTGTAAAGCGGAGACTTTGAGTCCTCACATCAAAAGGGATTTCCCGATGATTGCAATTTAAAGCATCGTGGATTACTTTTAAATTAAGTCAGACTAAGGAGCAAAGTTCATACTCATGGCGATGTGGGTAAAAATATTGTTGGAAATACAACCAGCGGCGGGTATCCAACGACGGTCTTTGAAGTCGGAATACGAGGGAATAAAACTACAGAATATCATCACATTCATACTGATTGACGTACAATTTTATGAAGGGATTTTTGTGAGCAAGTAGGACTCGTTTCAGGTGTTACGCACACCTAATGTAATGTTTTCATTTACCGTGATGAACAAAATGAAAGCAGTTACTTTTTGCTCATTCTCCTTATTTATCTATTTAGGGATCAACCTTTTTCTTGTGCAAAACAATTCTTCAGCTTTAAAAACATGAAAGCCATCTTAAAGAATGAGAAAAGTTTTCAACTGCAGCCCACACTATTTTATGACGAGTCGCAGCATTTATAACTTCGCTTTCTGGGCTTTAAGCCACCCATCTGTCGGATTAACACAACACGCTCATGGTCGTTCACGACCAATCGAAATAACAAAACCAAGTGTTTTAAAGACCTTTCTAATCGTCCTGTAAAGGTTTTGATTGGGAAGGTTATCGAAAGCCGTGACCAATGCAAATTTAATGGATGGCTATCTGGTGCTGCATGGAGAATGCATTAACAAATGACATCGTTATTGCTTCCCTCTGAAAAGATCAAATTTATTCGTTAGCATTTCATCATTATAAAAAATCAATGTATGAACAATATATTCATTTTAAAGAAAGAAGTTCGACAATGACAACTGGCTGGGGCCATTACAAGAATTCTTAGTTGTTTCAAAATTAGTATGCCAAAACATTAAAAAGTCGGAACATCTGTCAGAGTAGATCTTTAGACATGTTTTTTTTTGCACGCTTAAAAATTTCGAACATTGAAGTTATATTAAAAGATAGAAATCTCAAAAATGCTTGCGTCTAAGTTAATTACGGTAATCAAGAAAAAAAAAGTCTGAAATTCTGAAAATAAAGTTCTCCCGGTTCGGTTCAGGCCGGTTTGGTTCGGCGTCCATGTGGGCACTATTCATTACATCTTTGGAAGGAGACCTCTGTTGGATGTTACATATTCCATATACAGCCTGTTCTTTCAAGAAAGTTTCCTCTTCAAAAGCGTAAAGACAAACGCAGCCTATTCAGTCGTCCAGTCTCCAACTTGTGGTAAACTCCCAACCCTTTATTACTGAAACATCTTCTATCCTTCCGATTTCATCATTACTCGGGCATTTTCCTGTGGGTCGAAAAATCATCGCGGCACACTATTTGAATATACCCAAAATCAGTTCACTTTTTACGATCTTGTTAATCAAAAGTTCATTCCCGTAACTGAAACCCTACTTTTATTTTGTGACAAGTGATGAGAATCTGATGACAAATAAATACCATTCGTCCTGCAATCGATAAATTTCTTCATTGTAACTTTTCCCACAACCTTGACCAGAGTTATGGGAATGTACGAAAAATATTTACATGTCGATTTCTTCTCTGCGTCAAGGGTTCACTGTTATGCAACAGGAAGATGATTGTTTCCCTTGCGCAGGTACGACGTCCTTGTGTCCCGATTCATTACTTGGAAATAGTATTTGACATTAGAAAAGCAGTTCAAATTCACACGTCATTAAGATAGCTCACCTGTAGAGCCTGATGGTTTTGGTAGCTATGTCAGTTATAATACACTGAGTTTACATTGAGCTAGCTTTTAAAAAGTTTTATTTATTTACAAAAGACATCATGAATTCATGGCTGAAATTAACAGGCAATGTTGAGGTTAACGAGAAACTTGAAAAATCAGTGTCAATTTTATTTCTCATAAAATCGATTGAACAGGAATTACGCTAAATTACCCTTACTGTATTCACAAAACTATGATTTCTTTCCCCTTAAAAATTAAAATATCTACCATTGTTTCTGTGGCGCTTCAATTACGTTTTTAATAACGTTCTAGTTTCTCTTTTTTTCGGTTGAGAAAAAAAGGGAACGTATTCAGCCCTTGCCAGTTAAACAATATGGACGACCACAACGAAGCCTTATGACTGATTGCATAATTAGTTTAGAGTACGGTTTCTTTTCCAGGGCATATTACGCAGTATGTTGATGACAGAGTGACGAATGTGTCTCATCTTCCAACAGTAAATTAGAGGGTTTAAAGTTGAATTCAGAAATAGCAGAATGAGTGTAAAAACGTTCAAACTCCTAATTGTGCTATTCGGGCCGTTTATTTTCATTGTAAGCATGAGGGAAAACGATGGGAAATACGAAACTAAAAATATGAGATACACATACAATATACAAACCGCAGACTTAAGAGAGACAGCCAATCGTTTCACCTCACTGCACTGACCTGCTTCTTGTAATTGCAAGGACTGAATCTGAAACTTGTGCCGGCGGACAATGAAATGAATCCTGATGTTTATTAAAATCATAAGAAGGAAAGGAATTAATAGGAAAACGACCTTAGTTAAAGAACGAGTGCTTGTAGAGACCCAATGCATCATTGGTGAAAGTAATGTGCAAAACACCCAAATTGATATTACTACAGCAACAACACGCCTGTGAGTCACAAGTTCTTTGTATCTGAGATGAAGATGAAGAGCTAAGAACCTGTCTACACTTAAAGCCATAACACTCAGATGCGAGCTCATCAAAAGCGAACGAATAGCGCTACCCATCATGTTGTAGGCGCCACAGCTGGGATTGTTCATTTGCAGCCAAGTGACCATAAATGATGCAAAAAGAGGTTGAACGAATACACCAACAACAACATCAGAAACAGCAAGACTCAGCATCAATGTTCTCAACGTCTTTGGAACAGATGAACTTTTTCGTACAGCGTACAATGTCACAATGTTCAACATGATGGCGGTGTAGGTTAAAAAATTGTTGAAAATACAGCCGGCGATAAGTATCCAACGACGGTCTTTGAAGTCGGAATAGCTGGGAAAAAACTGCAGAATATCATCACAGAACAATACATTCATACTGATAGACCTTTTGTGGGCAATTAGGACTCTTTTAGGTATTGCGCACACCTAAAATAATTTTTTCATTAACCGTGATAAAAAAAGGCTGTTAATTTTTGCTCGCACTCTTTGAGAAGTGCATCAGGATTGATACGCTCTTCTTCTTGACGACTTTTTTTTTTAATAAAACGACGCTGGTCTTGTGATAGCTTTACATCACAAGGTCCTGTGCTCATTTGATTGGATAGTTAGTTAATGGAAAGTTGTCAATGGGATAAAATTAAAGCCGTAGTATCGTGGTGTAACAAAGTCATAAGCTTACTGGATAAGAGAATTAATTGAAAGTGCCCAATGGAAATTTGATGAATTTACATCCAATATAAAATCTGTAAAGCGGAGACTTTGACTCCTCATATCAAAGGGGATTTCCCGATGATTTAAGGAATTATGGATTACTTTTGGATTAAGTCAGACTATGGGGCAAAGTTTAAAGAAAGTAGAATTTCGCACCCGAAATTGGTCGGTGACCACTAGCGCATAGGAACCACTGCCTCTAAACTTCCAGGACCACAAACTTAACGGCATCTTTTAATGGATATACATCCAATATAAAATCTGTAAAGTGGTGACTTTGAGTCCTCACATCAAAGGGGATTTCCCGATAATTGCAATTCAACAAATTGTGGATTACTTTTAAGTTAAGTCAGACTAAGGAGTAAATTCAACATTATGGCGGTGTGGGTTCAAATATTGTTGGAAATACAGCCGGCGGTGAGTATCCAACGACGGTCTTTGAAGTCGGAATATGAGGGAAAAAAACTACAGAATATCATCACAGCACAATACATTCATACTGACTGACTTTCAATCTTATGAAGGGGCCTTTTGTGGGCAATTAGGACTTGTTTTAGGTGTTACACACCTAAAATAATTTTTTCATTTACCGTGATGAACAAAATGAAAGTAGTTACTTTTTGCTCATTCTCCCTATTTAGCTTTTTAGGGATCAACCTTTTTCCTGTGCAAAACAACTCTTTAGATTTAAAAACATGAAAGCCATTATCTAAAAGAATAAGAGACGCTTTCAATTGCAATTTTATGACGAGTCGCAGCATTTGTAGCGGCGCTTTCTAGTCTTGCAGCAACCCATCTATCGGAATAAAACAACACGCTTACGGTCGTTCACGACTGATCAAAATAACAAAATCACATGCTTTTGAGACCTTTCTAATCGTTCTGTAAGGGTTTGGATTGGGAATTTTATCGAAAGCCGTGATCAATACAAATTTTTATGGATAGCTATCTGGTGCTGCACGGAGAATATATTAACAAATGACATCTCCATTGCTTCCTTCTGCAGAGACCAAATTTATTCGTTAACATTTCATCGTAATATAAAATCAATTAATGAACAGTATATTTATTTCAAAGAAAGAAGTCTGACAATGACAGCTGGCTGAGGCCATTGCAAGAATTCTTAGTTGTTTCAAAATTAGTATGCCAAAACGTTAAAAAGCGGAACATCTGTCAGAGTAGATCTATAAAAACATGGCTTTTTTTCCTCGCACACTTTAAAATCGCGAGCACTGAAGTTGTGTCAAAAGATGGAAATCTTGAAGATGCTTGCGTCTAAGTTAATTGCGGTAATCAGGAAAAAAGTCCGAAATTCCGAAAAAGAAGTTCGCCCGGTTCGGTTCAGGCCAGAATCATCGGCGCCGCAGGGACTATTCATTGCATTGAATGGAGACCTCTGTAGGATGTTATGTAATTATATAATATAAAGACAAACGCAGCCTATTCTGTCGTCCAGTCTCCAATCTGTGGTAAACTCACAACCCGTCGTTACTGAAACATCTTCGATCCTTTCGAGTTAATTAATCATTACTTGGGTATTTTTCTGTTGGTCGAAAATCATCGGGGCACACTCTTTGAATACGCAAATTCAGTTCACTCTTTTACGACTGGTTATTCAAAAGTTCATTCTCGTAACTAAAACCTTACATTTATCTTGTGACTAGCGATGAGAATCTTGGTGACGAATAAAGACCATTTGTCCTGCAATCGATAAATTTATTCATTGTAATTTTTCCTACAACCTTGACTGGAGTAATGGAAATGTATGAGAAATATTTACACGTCGATTACTTCTCTGCGTTAAGGGTTCACTGTTATGCAACAGGAAGATGTATTGAAAACAAGGAATTGAAAATAAACTCTTTAAATACATGTTCCAACATTACAAGTGAAGTAGTTTGTAACATACTGTGGATTTCAATTTGGTCCGTAATCATACACGTGATAACAAAATCGGACGGCCGCACAGCAGTAGTGCGATTTATTTATCACAAGTATGATTAAAATTTCCAAGAAAAGAAGAATAGCCAAGTTATGAAAGAAAGGGAAAATTTGCTATGCAAGACTGACAATGGAGGCGTAAATTTTTAATTGTTTGATGTGTTGATTTAAGCTACGACTTTGAATTTGATTGGCTAATTTTAACTACATCTTTGAATGTGATTGGCTTATTTAACTGTCGATAACGAACTGTCTGATAACAAACTGTCCAATAACAACTTTGCTGGTGAATTAGTGGAAAGTATGAGTTTTTTATACCAATCACACTATAAGAAATTACAATTTTTATGATTAATTTGAGAATAGCTTGGGTTTATAAATATTTCTGAATTCGAAGTACCCGCAAGTGCCCTGATTGGTTATAAGCTAGCTTCATTGCACTAGTAACCCATAGAAAATTATATAATAAGCTCAGTTATGCACGCGTTTTGATTGGTTCTCACTTATGATCTATTAGAGGACAGACGTATAGAAGACGTCATCATTAAAACGTTTTTAAATTCTTTATTATATAAAACAAATAGATTCCAAGTTGCCGTGCGTCTGTTCAGTAATAGATCACAGATGACGTCAAAATGTGGTAAGAACATCGGTGACACACTCTGTGCCACTTTTTTGTTCTTACCACATTTTGACGTCATCTGTGATCTATTACTGAACAGACGCACGGCAACTTGGAATCTATTTGTTAATTTGAACATACTGTTGTTTTGTTTTAAGTTTATTTCATAGAGTAAGAGACCATATTAATATTAGTTAAGCAGCATAATAACGCACTTGGGATGTTGGGAGAACTAGAGAAAAGTGCCTGGGCTATTGTGCTAGTAAACAGATAGAAAGTGCAGTTTACTGCTTAAGTGTTATTGTGAAAGGTGTTATACAAAGTTTTGTTTTTTAATTGAGAACTTAAATTTAATCATCTCTCCCAAGATGTAAGAGTCAGGCTGATCAATTGTGTTTTGATTGCGACGTTCCGACTGATATACTTCGTCAGGTGGGGAAGTTGAAAGTATATGTGTCGCTATTTGTAGCACCTTGTAGCATGAAAGTGCAGTAGATAGGGTAACTACCCTTGAAACAATGAGGGCCATGTGTTCAATATTTTTCCTTTTTTCGCCTTTGCAGGAATTTAACTGCAATGGAACAGTTGTTGAAAACCCAGAATATGGAGAGGTGATACAGCTAGAAGGCGACCAGCGTCAGAATATCAGTGATTTTCTGAAACAGCTGAAACTAGCCAAACCAGACCAGATACACATGCATGGTTTCTAGAACTTACTCCTTAGTATTGGGGTTTGCATGTACATAAGTTTTTTCTTATTACCAAGTAAGATCTAGAAAACAACTGCCGAATTAAAGTGAAGGCCGATTCAAATCTGACTAAGAACTTTATTTGTGGTAAACTTTAGTACTAATTATGTTTACCTTAAAATCAGAACCTTCTTTTCAAGATTTATGTTTGGCTGTGTGCCTGATGTTGATAGATGGAATGTTGAGTTGATTCTATCAGTTCTTTAGTGGCTTCTGTTCCTTCATATGGTTCAAGATAGCCATGGAAATAGTTTTAACACTACCCAGTAACTTGGAAAAGGTGAGCAATAAAAAAAAGAAACATTTCTTACTAACATTGGTTTGCTTGTTTGCTCGTCGGTGTAAACCTTGAGCTCTGACAAATGACCAAGACAAAATTTTTTCTCACCATATCAATACAATATCAAGCAGACAAGTGATGATTATAAAGAAAAGTTTCAATAAGGGATTATTAGTTGATATAATATCAAATTCTCTAAACTAACGTAAGAATTGTATAACAGACGTTAAGGAGAATTGCTACTGAGATATTGCGAGTGAAAGGGTAAATATATTATTTCCTACCCACTGTTTGCTAAATTTGTTTATTTGACTGTACACCATGTCACCATCTTTTCATCCAGAGGATAGAAACAACAGAAAATAAGAACATACCATAACTTGTTAGTTAAAACAACTTCTTCAGTCTCCGGACCCTTTCCAAAGCAGGTCTTTCCAAATAGAAAGAGCTGGTTTTCCAGTGCCAAAACAAAGGGTCACTTAATGAAAGTACTGGCGTGCGAGATATGCTTTCTGATTTGTTTTTAACACCAGAAGGAATTTGATCATTTTGCATTATTTGAAACTTAAACTGCTCTACACCCTAACATCAGTATCTATATTCTCCATACTTTTCTCTGTACAATTCATCTGGTACTGACAGGGAGAATTTGTTTAACAATCAAAGTTTCTTAAGTTGGTGATCATTTTTCTTATTCTCATTGTCTTAATGAATGACTTAGCAGTATTACTGTAAGGAGAAATTAAATACTGGTCACTCCGAGGGTTCAAAGTAAAACATAAATATCTACATGAAAAACTACTGAATACCTAGAAATTCTCTTGTCATGAAAACCTAGCAACCCCATCAGAAATCTGAGAGAATCGTCGAAAAGCATCGATCTGAGGCTCGGCACCCTCACGTGCACAGTCTAGCTCGCCCCAGGCTTGTATCCGCTCACTCGAAAAGAACCCGAAGGCTGAGAGACGGTCTGTAGGAGAAGAGAAGAGAAGAGAAGGCTTCCTTCCATAACGAATTACTGCAGAACAATTACGAAGAACGAAAACAGCTAAGTAATTTACTTGCTTGATTC